GTATGTCTTAGTAGTATTTATTTTATTTTAGTTAAGTTAGTATACTACTACTAATATATATATTAGTTGTTAGTACGTACGACACAATAGTATATATATATATATATATATATATATATATATATATATATATATATATATATATACATACACACACATAGCCACATTTATTCACTTTCATATTCTTTTTCATTACAGGTTATTACAAGATATTGAATATAGTTCCCTGTGCTATACAGAAGAAATTTGTTTCTATTTTATCTATTTTTATATATAGTGGCTAATATTTGTAAATCTCAAACTTCCCAAATTATCTCTTCCCACTTACTTTCCCTGGTAACCATAAGATTGTTTACTATGTCTGCAAGTCTGTTTTTGTTTTGTAAATGAGCTCATTAGTGTCTTTTCTTTTCTTCTTCTTCTTCTTTTTTGTTTTTGTTTTTTTTTTTTTTTAGATTAGACATATGAGTGATTTCATATGTTATTTTTCTTTCTCTTTCTGGCTTACTTCACTTAGAATGATGATCTCTAGATCCAATCGTGTTGTTGAAAATGGCATTAGTTTATTCTTTTTTATAGCTGAGTAGTAATCCAATGTATAAATATACCACAACTTCTTCATCCAGTATTCTATCCATAAATATTTAAGTTGCTTCCACGTCCATGAACATTGAGGTGCGTGTATCTTTTCAAGTGAGAATTCCCTCCAGATATATGTCCAGGAGTGGGATTGCTGGATCATATGATAAGTCTATTTTTAGTTTTTTGAGAAATCTCCATACTGTTTTCCATTATGACTGCACCAAACTGCATTCCCACCAGCAGTGTAGGAAGGATCCCATTTCTCCACACCCTCTCCAGCATTTATCATTTGTGGACTTTTGAATGATGACCATTCTGACTGGTGTAAGGGGATGCTTAATTGTAGTCTTGATTTGCATTTCTCTGATAATTATTGATATAGAGCATTTTTTCATGTACTTATTGGGCAGTTGTATGTCTTCATTGGAGAACTGCTTATTTGGGTCTTCTGTCCAAGTTTTGGATTAGGTTGTTTGTTTTTTGTTGTTGTTATTGTTGTTATTAAGTTGCATGAGCTATTTATATATTTTGGAAATTAAACCTTTGTCAGTCACATCATTTGCAAATATTTTCTTCCATTCTGTAGGTTATCATTTTGTTTTGCTTATGGTTTCCTCTGTTGTGCAAAAGCTTATAAGTTTAATTAGGTCCCATTTGTTGATTTTTGGTTTTATTTTTATTGCCTGGGTAGACTGCCCTAGGAGAACATTACTACGATTCATGTCAGAGAATGTTTTGCCTATGTTTTCTTCTAGGTGATTTATCATGTCTTGTCTGATATTCAAGTCTTTAAGCCATTTTGAGTTTATTTTTCTTTCTGGTGTGAGAGAGTGTTCTAACTCCACTGATTTACATGCTGCTATCCAGTTTTTCCAACATCACTTGCTGAACAGACTGCCTTTTCTCCATTGAATATTCTTGCCTCCTTTGTCAAAGTTTAATTGAACATATGTGTATGGATTTGTTTCAGGGCTCTCTATTCTGTTCCATTGATCTATATATCTGATTTTATGTCAATACCACACTATTTTGATTATGGTAGCTCTGTAGAATTATCTGAAGTCTGGGAGGGTTATTGATCCAGCTTCTTTGTTTTTTTTTTTTTTTTTTCAATAATGCTTTGGCAATTCTGGATCTTTTGTGATTCCACAGAAATTTGAGGATTATTTGTTCTAGTTCTTTGAAATATGTCCTGGTTAATTTGACAGGGATCACATTAAATCTGTAGATTGCCTTGGGAAGTATGTCCATTTTAATAATATTGATTCTTTAAATTCAAGAGCATGTGATATCTTTCCATTTCTTTAAGTCATCTTTAATTTTCTTAATCAGTGTTTTTTAGTTCTCCATGTACAAGTCTTTCACTGTCTTGTTCAGATTTATTCCTAAGTATTTTATTGTTTTGAATGCAATTTTAAAAGGGATTGTTTCTTTACTTTCTTTTCCTGCTAATTCATGTTAGTATAAAGAAATGCAACTGATTTTTGTATATTAATCTTATAACCTGCTACCTTGATGAATTCTTTTATCGGCTCTAGAAGCTTTTTTGTGGAGCTTTTGGGGTTTTTTTATATAGTATGTCATTTGCATATAGTGACAGTTTTACCTCTTCTCTTCCAGTTTGGATTAATTTTATGAATTTTTCTTGCCTGATTGCTGTGGCTAAGACTTCCAAGACTGTTGAATAGAAATGGTGAGTATGGGCATCCTTGTCTTGTTCCAGAATTTAGTGGGAAGTCTCAGTTTTTCACTGTTGAGTATTATGCTGCCTGTGGGTTTGTCATAAATAGCTTTTATTATGTAGAGATATATTCCTTCTATACCCACTTTGGTAAGAGGTTTCATCAAAAATGGGTGTTTAACTTTATCAAATGCTTTTTGTATATCTATTGAGATGATCATGCAGCTTTTGTCCTTTGTTTTGTTGATCTGGTGTATCACATTGATTGATTTGCTTATGTTGAACCATCCTGGTATTCCTGGGATGAATCCAACTTGATCATGGTGTATGATCTTTTTTATGTGCTGTTGGATTCTATTTGCTAATATTTTGGTAAGAATTTTTGCATCTATGTTTATCAGTGATATTGGGCTGTAATTTTCTTTTTTGGTAGTGTCTTTGTCTGGTTTTGGTATCAGGGTGATGGTGGCTTCATAGAATTAGTTTGGGAGTACTCCTTCCTTTTCAATCATTCGGAAGAGTTTGAGAAAGACCAGTATGAGTTCTTTTTATGTTTGGTAGAATTCCCCAGTGAAGCCACCTATTTCTGGACTTTTGTTTGCAGCAAGATTGTTTATTGATAATTCTGTTTCATTTTGTGTGATCAGTCCGTTCAAGTAGTCTGTTTCTTCTTGATTCACTCTTGGTGGACTGTATATTTCTAGAAACTTGTCCATTTCTTCTAGGTTGTCCAATTTGTTTCCATATGGTTGTACATAGTATTAGCTTATGGCTTTTTTTTTTAAATTTCTGTGGTGTTGGTTGAAATTTCTCCTTTATTCTTTCTTAGTTTGTGTATTTGTGTTCTTCCTCTTTTCATCTTGGTGAACCTGGCCATAGGTTTGTCAATTTTGTTTAGTCTCAAAAAGCCAGCTCTTGGCTTGATTGATTTTTTTCTGTTGTTGCTGCTTTTTTTAAAAAAAAATCTCTATTTTAATTATTTCCTCCCTGATCTTTATTAATTTCTTTCTTCTGCTGACTTTAGGTTTTGTTTGCTCTTCTTTTTCTAATTCTTGTAGGTGATAGGTTAGATAGTTTACCTGAGAATTTTCTTTTTTGAGGAAGTTATGTATCACTTTGAACTTCCCTTATAGGACTGCTGTTGCTGTCTCCCATGGATTTTGTGTGGGTTTTCCATTTTTTAAATTTCTTCTTTGATTTCATCATTGACCACTGTTTTTTGTTAGTTGTTTGATTTCCATGCTGTCTTTTTTTTGTTTTTCCTCCTTTGTTTTTCTGTGGTTGATTTCTAGTTTCATGGCATTGTGGTCAGAAAAGATACTTGAAATAATTTATATTCTCTTAAATTCATTGAGGCTTTTGTGTGTGTGTGTGTGTGTGTGCCCAAGTATATGATCTATCATAGAGAATGTTCTGTGTGCACTTGAAAAAAATGCATATTCTCTTTGTTGTGGGTGTAATGTCTTAAAAATATCAACCAAGGCCAACTGTTCCATTGTGTCATTTACTATCTCTATAGCTTTACTGATTTCCTCTCTGGAAGATCTGTCCAATGATGTTAGTGGGGTGTTAAATTCTCTTATTATGATTGTGTTTCCATCATTTTCTCCCTTTATGTCTGTTAGTACTTGCTTTATGTATTTAGATGTTCCTATTTTGGGTGCATATATGTTAACTAGTGTATATTCTCACATTGTATTTCTCTTTTAATAATTATATTTAATCATTGTATATATTTAATCTTCTTTATCTTTCTTTATGGCCTTTGTTTTAAACTCTCTTCTGTCCAGAATCTGTATTACTACTCCTGCTTTCTTGTCATTTCCATTTGCATGAAATATCTTTTTTCCATCTTCTCACTTTCTATCTATCTTGTCTTTCACCATAAAGTGAGTCTCTTATATAAAGCATATTGTAGGTTCTTGTTTTATTATCTAATCTGCCACTCTATATCTTTTGACTGATGCTTTTGGTCTGTTGACATTTACAGTAATTATTGATAGATGTGTGTTTATTGTCATCTTGAGAATAGTTTTCCAGTTGATTTGGTATTTCCTCTTTGTTCCTTTCTTTTTCATTTTGTGACTTGGTAATTTTCTTTTGTATTATCTTGGCTTATTTTGGGGTTTTGTGACTCTCTGGTGTTCTCTTGACTTGTAATGACCCTGTTTTTCCAGTGTATTAACCCATTATTGTATTTGTTTCCTTTAATCTGATAGTCATATGAGCTCAAACACATCCCAAAAAGAACAAAAAATAGCAAAAATTTCTATTTTTTTTATTCCCCTCTCTCACCTTTAATGATTTTGATGTCCTCTTTTACATCTTCATGTTTGTTCTGTTGCAACTCATTGTAGTTATCACCTTTCCACTTATGGTTTCCTCCTTTCTATAGCATCCTGCTTCTTTTCTATTTAGAGTAGACCTTTCAGTATTTCTTTTAGCATAGGTTTAGTATGCTGAATTCTTTTAGTTTTTGCTTGTCTGTGGAATTCTTTCTCTCTCTTTCTATTCTAAAGTATAGCCTTGCTGGCTAGAGTATCCTAGAGTGCAGCTTTTTCTCAATTAGAATTTTTGAATATATCTTACGAGTCCCTTCTGGATTGCAATGTTTGTGTTGATAAATCAGCTGAAAGCCTTATGTGGGTTCCCCTGTAAGTTACTATTTGTTTTTCTCTTGCTAACTTTGAAATCATTTCTTTATCTTTAACTTTGGCCATCTTAATCATAATATGTCTTGGTGTGGGTCTATTTGGTCTCTTCTTGTTGGGGACCCTCTGTGCTTCTTGTACTTGGATATCTGATTTCTTTTCTAATTTTGGAAAATGTTCATTCATGATTTCTTCAAATACCTTTAGAAACCCCTTTTATCTTTCTTCTCCTTCTGGGACCCCTATTATGCTTAGGTTTCATTGCTTTATATCATACCATAAGTCTCTTTTACTGGTTTCACTGGTTTTCACTTGCATTTCTGTCTGTTGTCCTGATTGGGAAATTTCTGTTATTCTGTCTTCCAAATCACTTATTCATCCCTCTGCATTATCTAGTCTGATTTTGACTGCCTTCATGTCAGGTCTTATCTCAACCATTGAGTTTTCTGGGGTTTTTTTCCCCTCCTTTTTTAGTTTTATTAAGTAGAATTATTATAGTTCAACTGCACACACACATTATATTGCATGTAAATACATATATATAGTATACTGCACATTTGTTTTTTACTTTTCTGTTTTTAATTGGCTCCTCTTTATCATTTCTATTTCCTTTTTATAGTATTCAGTATGTTTATTTATACTGTCTCTTATTTCCTTTAGTGCTTTTATTATCCCCTTTTTGAAGTAATGGTTGAGACTCTCCTGGTTGTTGAGTGGTGTCTTGTTTTGTTCCGTGTTTGTCACAGCCCTGACAAGGACCTGGTCTGTTTCCCTTTTGTTGGAATGGAGGCTTTCAGACTAGCTTTTGGGTTGCAGTGCATGGTAGGCTGGGTTGGAGCACTTCACGTACTCTTTTTATGTTGCCCTTATCGCCACTTTAGGCACAGGGATGTCAGTGCTCTGTTCTGGTGTACCCCAGGTTGTCTGCCCTCAGAAATACTGGTGCAGTTCCACTAATTTCTGGGTTGCACACCTGTACTGTAGCTTGCTATTGGATCAGCAATACCCCCAGTGCCAAACACCGCTCCTACACTTGCCCTGCTGTCTGAACTCCGCTTGTTCATCTCAAAGGCCTGCACTGGCAGAGCCTCCAGATCTGTAGCAATTGTACAGTCATGGAACCAGGTCAATGTCATCCCCAGTACCACATCCGTGTCTGGTAGGCAGACCCACTGAAAATGCTGCACCAGCCCTCACCCCCACAGTGTGCAAGAACTCTGCTATTTTCTCATTCTTCTTAGAGGCACAGGTCCACAAAGGCACCCTCAGAGCAAATTGGTCCCTGGGCTGTAAACAAATCTCAATTCTGCCTTTGAAGTTTCAGAGTCCCTGGGTACAGTTTCTGGTTTCAACCCCACCTCCACCTGGGAATTGCACACCAGTGAATATAGTGGCTATGGCAGAGGCCTGCCTCTCTTCTCCTGACAATGTACCAGTGAAGGTGCTGTGGGACTGCAGAGACAGAGGTTAAGGTCCAACTGTGTTGTGCCCCTCCCCCCAACTCACACCAGCAGTTTTGCTTTCTTTCTTTTCCCCTTCCCCTTCCCCTTCCCCTTCCCCTTCCCCTTACCCTTCCCCTTCCTCTTCCTCTTCTTCTTCTTCTTCTTCTTCTTCTTCTTCTTCTTCTTCTTCTTCTTCTTCTTCTTCTTCTTCTTCTTTTCTTCTTCTTCTTTCTTCCTTTTTGTTTTTAAATGTGGGACCCAGACTATTCTGTTCCATGTATATCTCAGCCACAGCCCACAGCACATTACTGCCCCCTAAGTCTGTTTCTGTCCAGTTGGTCCCAGCCCTTCACCTGGCCTGGGCAGCCAGTCTTGGCCCACTCCTGCTGGCTCATGTCTAGAGCTGGGGATCACAGGGATGCTTTGTGTCAGTTTCTTTTATTTCTTTTAGCCAAAAGGCTGCTGTTTACTCCTCCAAGCCTTGGTGATTCCCCATCTGTCCCCACTGACCTCTCCATTGGAGACAGGGCATCCCAGCATAAGAGCACTATTTCTTCTTTGCTGCTCCCTCCCTGTGGGACAGGTTCTGGGCTAATTCCTTCTTCTTATTATTATTCTTATTCTTTTTTTTCCTTCTATCAGATTTGTGAGGAATTTTGACTTTTGAAGACTTTTCCAAGATTATACATTTTAAAAATAGATGGGACTCAGTATTTTTGACTTAAAAGTCTCTGTCCTAAAATTCTTATTATTTTCAAGTAAAGATCTTTAAAAATAGAATAAACCATGAGTCATCTTAATGATTCAACGTATGAAAACACCAGAGTGGGTAAATTATCCCTGAAATTTCTTTCAGGATTCATTATAGTAGAGGTGAATTGAAAAATAATTTTCATATAATAAAGAAATGTTCACACTGTTATTAGATAAAGGGTCTCATGGCCACTTGTTTTAAACTTCTGTGAAAAACAGCATTGAAGTTTATCAATCTAAAATTAGTCAGTGGAAATAGTCATTGCTCAGCACAGAAGAATGAACTAAATTACATCCAAATTTCTTTCATCTATATAAATGTGGGATTCAAATTTTAACTACTTTTCCTGGAAAAAAAATACATATGATAAACATTAAAAGAAAAGGTACTTGGTCTTTTCAGAGATTTAATAACATTTTAAGCCAATAGTGAGACTGAGTAAGACCCTATGGGGCACTGCCAACCCCTACCTCTTGTTTATAAAAAAGCTGAAGTCTTCCAGGCCTTCCTGTCATAAAAGAGCAGGCTCAATTAGTTTATAATTAAGACAATAGAGTCACAGATTCACTGTCTGACATAGATTCTTGAATTGTTTTATGGATACTGTAACATCCACCAAAGGGAAAAAGCTAAACTGCATGATGACTAGATCTCTTTCCTAGCATCCTCTTCAGTAATCTCACAAACTGTTACTGAGGCTACTGCCCCCAGGATCACACCTCTGCCCCTCCCTTTAATAGAAACCAATTACTCCTATCTAAGTCTCAGGAGTAAGCTGCAAAGAGGAAAAAATAAGAACTGGTTAGAACCAACTAGGCCCAAGATGGCAGAGGATTTGACTTCCCATGGACTAGATTCTCATTATATGCAAATTATAATGAACTAGCATGCTGAATGACACACCCACTAGTGCCATGACAGTTGATGATTGTAATGACAGCAGCCAGAAAAGCCCATACAAGAACTAGAAAAAAGGTGATTGGCTCCAGCACACTCAGAATGAGGACATGATAGCAGAAGTCACCAATAAAAGCCCATGTGGCCTGACCCAAAGCTGGAGCTGTTTGGCTGACAGCTCCTCACTCAAGGGCTTTCTTTCCTTTTCCTCTTTTGAGCAATAAATAAGCCTGCCTTTCACTTTATCCCTCCACATCTGCTGAGAATTCTTTCTCAACTGTCAGGCAGGGATCCACATACTGGGTGGGTTTTCCAATTTGAGGATCTCTCTATCTGCTAACTGTAGAACTACAAATATAAATAATTTTAAGAAAATTAAGCTTCAAATTCAAGGCTATGAGGAAAAGTCTAGCATTACCATACATATTTCAAGATGGCTTTGAATTCTTTCCATTGAGTATTTTAACTTTTTGAAAATGCCAACTTTGGTAGCAGATAACCTAAATTAGTAGTTACTGCAAACAATGATTGCATTTTCCCACTCATTGCCATTGCTGAACACTAAAACTGCATTCATTTTAGATCCATGAGACATGTAGTTTTCATTATTTTTCCTATTGTGGAAAAATAGTAAAAATATGAAATATCAGAAGAAAATTTCTAACCTCAATAGAATGAGGCACTAATAAATCAGAGATATATTGTTTAGACCTAGTCTTGTTCATTTTTCAGACTTTTGCTAGTTTGCTCCAGCCATATAATGTAAACCTTATTCTGAATATACATTTAAATGAGTTTCCAGGACTTACTAGAGCAACTCAAGTTGTCTTTTCCAAAAAAAAAAAAATTACACTATCCATAATTCTTAATTGCTTACATGGTCAGAATCCATAAAAAAGAAGACCACTAAATTCATCTGTCAGTGGCTATACAAGTTTCTTTAGTTTTCCTTTATTTTATTGAGGAAAAGTTTACATTGACTCATAAATATGACTTCTAGGCACTATAAGGCTCAGTGCCTTTGGTTTGTCTAAAATATCCTAATGTAACACTCATAACTGAAGCATCGAAACCCACTATGTTGTTGTCTTCTACAACCATAGTTTGTTCAAATGTTCTGAGAGAAAGCTTTGTGAACATTCCTAAATGAATGTTGCCTAGTTAAATGGGAGTGGAACTCTAAAATATTATTTTTGAATGCTGTCCTTTTCTTGGTTTCTCCTTTTTGCATCTCAGAGACAGAACAAACAAATTGGAAGAGTAGACAAAATTAGAGGAAAAAAGTTCTATTGCTCCTCCCTAATCTATATATAAGAAAATATTTACTCCTTCTATAATTTTTCATAGTTATGCAAAAATTAACTAGTCAATTATGTTGCTGATAACTCAGAAACTTCTCCCACACTACTTTATGTACTTTAAGTAAAAAATGAATGTTTATTTTTTTCTAGAATCTGCACTGTAATTAGAATAATTAGTTTATTCTTTTAATGAACAGCATTTTTTCATATTTGACAAGAGTTAAAATAATACTTTCATATTTTCCTTATAATAATTATGTATTGATAATGCATATTCTATAAATACATGCCCTATGAATCTACTAAGGATAGTGGATAGTGATAATAATATCTTGATGGAACAAGAACCAAATTTTCTCCAAACTTAACTTTAAAAACACACTTTTGACTAAAGATTTAGACAAAATACAAAGGCTAGCCAAATTTTACACCATCTGGAAGCTACAGTCATTCTCTGGATATTTAGAATGATACAATAGATTCTAATTGCTGGACATATGTCAGTAGTGACAAGGAATGGCTGATAATAGGTGAGTCTATTTCTGCCTCGTTCCTCAGCATGTTTATGGGAGCTGTTTAAGGTCTTCCTCCTATCCTCCCTTCCACTCTTCCTCCTTTTCTTCCTGTTTTCTTTCCTTTCTTCCTTTCTTCAATGATGATTGCTATTTTATTGCTAGACCCTATGTTAGGATATAGGATTCAGTGGACAATGCAGTAATTATGGCTGTTCTCTTCCAAGGTCTTAGAGTGTTGGGGAAGACAGTAAACTATCAACATTGCAAATACAACTAAATATAAATATAAGATTTTATATATCATATATTGTGGCAAGTGCAATGAAGTCAATGGCCAAATATTTTGAAATAAATTAATAGTGACAGCAAGTATAGCTACAGCATTAGATAGCATAGCTAAGGAAAGCATCTCTGAGAAGGTAGCACTCAAATTATATTTAAACAATGAGGAGAAGACATCCATAAAAAAAATGAGTGTGTTTATGAGAGAGAATGATTCACTCAAGAGACTAGCATAAACAGTCATTCTCTGACATGTGAAAGATGGGCAGTGTGAATAGATGGTACCGAGTAAGTGAGAAAGTGATTTGCCTTGAAACTGGAGAAATAAGCACAGGCTGCATCAGACAGGTCTTCCAATCTGCACTAAGCAGTTTGAATTCTTGGCTAAGTGCAATGGAGAAACATTAAAATGCTAAATAAAGGCATTGTAAACTCTATTTCATATTTATAAAATATCTCTGATATTTGTATGGAAATATAGCAAGCAAGAAAGAGGGAGATAAATTGATGGTCTATTAAAATATCCAGGTTAGTGTGGGTGGTGGTAAGGACTAGTACAAAAGAGAGGTAGGAAACTAGAAAGACTCAGTTTGATTTCTGAGGCAATTTTGGAGAATTAGTGATGATATGAGGATTCTCTGGGAGTGAGGGAGGGGAATCCAGTTTTTTTCCCTCAATTTTTGGCTAGAATGACCCACCAATTAGTAGTACTATGCACACTGCAATGTGAAGGCCTTGTGTTTTGGGGGGCAAGGGGGAGGGGAGTAGTTGAGAGGGGAAAGTTAGCAGTTTGATATTGGCTATGTTACATGTAAAAGTAGTTTTTTGTTTGTTTTGTCTACACATTAAAAGAGACACTTGTATTGATGATGTAAATTTGGATGGAATTTAATTTTGAAGAGAGAATAGGCTGCTGTACAAAGTACCACAAATTGGGTGACTTAAAACCACAGAAACTTATTCTCTCACAGTTCTGAAGTTTAAATAAATAAACCAAGGTGTCTGCAGGGCCATGCTCCCTCTGAAGTCTCTAGGAGAGACATGTTTGCTTTTTTCTTTCAGCTCTATAAGCACTACGTGTTCCTTGGGTGGCAGTAGAACAACAAACTAGGCCCCAACAACAAAATATAAGCACTTAGATTTCTCACGGCTAAGGCACTAAGGCACTGATGGAAGTCCTGGTGTATTAGGAAGAAGTCAAGTGTGCATTTCCACCACATTAAGTGAAGAGAGAATTTAAGGTAAGAGTGGTAAACAGCATTCAGTTCTATTATGAGCAGTAAGAGGAAGGCAGAAAATGGCTTAGTTCATCAATGAGCAATAGAATTGCTGGTCCTTATAATGATAATCCTGACCATGAATAAAATATTAAATTATGTCAACATTACTCAACACAGCAAGAAAATGTGAAGTGTCTTTTTGAAAGATTTACATTGAAGTTATTACTAGTATTATTATGTAATTTAGGTGTTGATGTTCTTTGGAAACTCAATGATAAATAACAGTTAATTTCCAAGATTAAAGGGATTCTGTATGGCTAATTAGTCTTATGCTGTCTATGCATGTTCTCTATGGTATGCGATGAAACAGGGGACCACTCTTTCCTTTCAGCTCACTATGGAAGGAAATCAATTTGGATTTTAACTTCATACTGAAGGAAAAGACATTTTATCTTTACAAGTAATATAAATATATAAAATAAAATAAACAAAAATTTGAAAATATAGAACATGAGAGGCTTTTAAAATATTGAGAAGCTAAAAGTTATAGAAGAAAATATAGAAATACTTGGTTATATATCTATATAAATGCAAAATATGGCAGAAGATATCAGAAATCAAGAAACAAAAACTAATTAAATTATTATTTCCAATGCTAAAATTTGTAATAAATGACTCTTATACATTAATTGCACAAACACCAAAAAGAAATGATCCACAGTATGGAATGGGTAAGAGAAAGAAAAAAGAAAAGAAAAGAAATATGTTTATGGCAAAAATAATACTATGCCGTCTCATTTAAGTAGAAGTACCTATATGTACATATACATGCACAGCACCTGTATTTGTGTAAAGGGATGCATGCAACTGTAGTCTCTCAGTGGAGTTTAAGTAGATGAGAATTTAGGTGATTTTCACTTTCTTCTATCTACTAATATTTGTAAATTTAATATAATGCAGAGAAAAATATCAAATATCTTCTCATTGCAAATAAATGAGTTGACTTAGCTTTCCTAGATATTTTTTTGAGTCTACAATTCTATCTTCACGTTTCTTTTAATATACTGAACAAATATGTATGATTGTTTTTTCTGAGTAAGGAATTAGGAATCAAAACTGTATTCATATCCTCATGGGACTGTTATTTCACTGGATAAAATAGACCTCAAAATAAGCACATTTGTTTTCACTATTTTACTTTACAAACACTATAACACAAAAGTTTACTTTGTACAAGTCTCTCTTCTACCTTTTGCCAGTTCTCAAATATCTTGGCCCTGGATAATTTTTACTTGTGGGCTGCTTATCTTGCCTAGTCTTAAAATTAATGAAAAGGGTAATATATAGGAGTTGGCTAAATAGATCAATGCAGTAATAAAAATTACCTTTCATAAAAATGTGAATAAAGAGTGGAAATCACAAGAATATATGTAATTTAACACGTATATTTTCATTGTATTAAAAAAAACCCTTCATGCTTCTCTTGATAATGCATAAAGGTGAGTCAATTCAGTAATGGTAAAAAGTGATTCATTGTGAAACAGGTAAATGCAATGTTCTACTGGGCCCAAAAGTAAGCATATTAATTTATGTGCCATTATCTAGGAGAGGAAAAGATCAAATTAATCCCATATGCAAACTGGGAAATATTCCTAGTCCTCCAAAACTTTCAAATTAAAAAATAAAACATCCTGCAACATTACTTTCTCTGGATTATATGCAATGGAATAATCAGAAAGTAATGAAAACCTAGGGAAATATAGGTTCACATTTATCCAGTATTGTTCTGAAGTACTCCACAAGAAAATTTCTAGAACTGAGGAAGCAGAAAATATTCTCTCATCATTTTCCTGTGCTCTCTCCATAAAGCTGGTTTGAAGGAGGAATTGTTCAGTTAATAGTTTCTATAGAAGCAGTTTAACCAGTTTCCTAGGGAGCATAGTTGCTTAGGAAACTCAAATATATTAGAGCACAGAGGATGTGACTAGACTCCTGCTGGTGCCCACCGTTTCATGCTGCCATTTTTACCCACTTCTTCTCACTTTTCTGGCTGTGTTCTCATATGGCAGAAGTGCCAAGTTGGAAAACCAGTGTGGTTCTTGGCATAAGGTGGGGATTATATAATTGCTTATGGGCTTACCAGAGAGACCACCTTTGATAGGTAAGTTGTTTTTGAGGGCAGATTGGACAAAATTTTCCTAACCTGCAGACACCTTCCATTGGCCAGTGAGATAATCTCTGAAGATTTACTATAATCACATTCTTTCAACACTCTGGCACATTAAGAAATGGTAATTGAATTTCATGAGAGCTATTTTCCTAAACCTGTCCAATTAAGAAAAAAATAAAAAATCAAGGGCATAGGTATACAAGATGCATTTGAAACCTTAGGCTGGTTTCCTGAAAATAGCAATGATTCTTTCCCTCTGAAATGGCTCAAGATATATAAAAATAGTGTACATGTTATATAATCACTTTGGGATTTTTTTTTAATCAATGAATAATTCTGGTGTTAATGAACTGTTTTTATTTTTTATCTTAAGTAAGGTTGTATGAATGTTAAATCATATGCCTGTTTGTCTACTATCCATTTATCTATCTGTCTATCTAAATTGGTTTTGTAATACCTTTTGAAAGTTGATCACTCATTTTTCAGTTGATATCCTTTAAAAATGTGAAATGATGATGGCAATGTGGGGACAAATGCTGCAAATGTGATCCGGGGTCTCAGCACACTAGGCTGCCACATTTCACATCTGTTCAGGAGACATGAGTTGCTGAGCGGCGGGACCCATGCCAGTGGGCTGGGAACCCCTAGATGACACAACATTATAAACAGAGAAAAAAAGAAACTTTGCAATTAACCAACAGCGATCCCTGAGGATTGAAACTCCACATTATCCCTGCCTTCTGTATTCTGTCTGTGAAGCTTTTAGAGGAAGACCATCACAACTTTTCTCAATAATGGTTCCTAACAGATTATGATAAAGCTATTCATATTTTAACAGTCAACAATCCCAGATATTCAGAGAGAGAGAGAAAGACAGAAGAGCTGCCTAAAGCCTAATTAAAGTTACCCTAGAGTTAAAGTGAAGTTTAAATCATTAAACAAATTTTTAATTTTATAATTAATTTTGTGTGCTTTGATGGTTAAGGAAACCCTAAAAAACTCTATTGTTCAGACACTACCTGCTTAGGGTCAAGATCACACTTCTGTGTTTCATATTCTTTTTGTGTCAAGATTTCCCTGAGAATAAAAGAGACACATGTCAAGGGTTTTTAATCCACAAATAACATTCAATGGCATGATATTAAAAAATCTAATTTGAACACCTTTCATGATCACTGGCTTTCCAAACTGGAATGAGTTCCCAGCGACACTACTGCTCATGTCCCACTGCTCCGTCTTGGACTTCTAGGCACATATACATGTTAATGACCTGTTAAGTGCTGTGCTGGTCTTTCTGGAGCAAAGATAAATAGCATAATCAATGTCTTCTCACCAGTAAGATAGCAGCTCAGAGATCCTGAATTTCCTCTTTTGCTTCTTCTTTTATTTTTTGTTGTTGCATTCAAAATTTATTAAGCACTAACTTTGTGCTTAACTGTGCCAAGTATTATATATACATGGATAAAAATATGAATTACCATCTTTATAGAATTCACATTCTCCCCTCACTAATTGCAAAACCTCACTCTCTTGAGGAACATTGGCTTTGTTCAGGGCAATCTGTTTCTGCTGAATTGATTTCATACCCTGGACATTCTTGGTTTCTATGGCTATTTGACAACATCATTGGAGCCTCTCTAAATAGAAGCCAATAGATTCTTCTGGGAAAATTTTTGCTTCTGCTAATTATCTTGGTGTCTTCCTGTTAAAAGGTAAAAGATCATAGTGGAGGGTTAATGTGAATGGGGAAAAAGAGCAACAGAAAGAAATCTCAAAATGCTTATTTGATTACTTCACATATAATAAATATGTGTCTACACTACTAACAAAATGACTCTAGATCTATGAACATTTCCAAAAAGTTAATGTGGTCATTTTAACTTATCCTTAAGTTTTCCATTTTCTTTGCAGGATTTCAAATTTTCTTTTAAAGTACAATTATACTTGCTTCAATAAAAATGGATTTTCTGAGGGGAATTCTATAGCTAAGTAGTAAAGCAAACACTTAGAATGTATGAGGTCTTGGGTTCAATCCCTAGTGCCTCATTTAATAAAATAAATAAACTTAATTACCCCCACAAAAACAAACAGGGTTAAAAAAAAACACCAAAAAAAAAAAAGTTCAGAGAATGTATTTTCTACAGAGCAGTCAAACGGAGCCATTTCAAACCTTTTTCAGATCCATTATCCCCTTGCTCGAAACTGCCCCCCATTCCCACTGTGTCTTTCCATCACACTATGAAGAAAACTTAAAAGTCATGTAATGACCTACAAGCCCCTCCATATCTGCCCCCTTTGCACCCTCACCAGCTTTTGCACTCATCCTCTGTGTGCCCTGCATGCTCCTGTCCTAGATCCTTTTCTTCATTATTTCTTCTGTCTTGAAATGTGTCCCTATATGTTTGATGGCCCATCCCCTCAGTTCCTTCAGGACACAGTTGAAGTGTCTTCTTCTGGGGATGTCTTTTTCTTTCCCCATATCTGAATGTCAGTACTCATCCCTCTTCATTCCTTTACCTTCTAATCATTTTATTCTTCACGTGCTTTACTACACAGTTCATTATATGCTTATTATTTCATTCTGTTTGCCAAAAGTCTAAGTTCAATGAAAGCAGAGACTGTCTTGCTAACTATTGCATTCTGAGAATCTAGAAAACTATTTGGAAAATAGCTGAAATGAAAATAAAATAGTGATTTGGATGAAAGAAAAGAATGATTGAAAAGATCTCTATAAGTAACAAGTAGGATCTTGTTCACGGTTCTCTTGAGTTACCTCAGAAAATGTCTTCAGAGTGCCACTTTTCCAGATTCTTCTGCTGTCTCTTTTCAGGAGAAAATGCAGAGAGCATGCTTTGAAATATCTGCAAAGGTAAACCACTCTATATAAAAATAGAAAAAAAACAGATTTATTCTGTATAGCACAGAGAAGTATATTCAATATCTTGTAATAACCTTTAATGAAAAAGAACGTGAAAAATAATACAGGTATATATATGCATGACTGGGACATTGTGATGTACACCAGAAACTGACACATTGTTACTGACTATACTTCAGTTAAGAGAAAAAGGAAAAACCTCTTTCAGTAATAAACGTGCAGCTTTCGGGTGACCGTTCATTGTATTAAGAAGGACAGTTTGTCAATCCTACTTCCTGAGGACTTCAAAAGAAAACCTGTACAGTTCTATGTCTTGTGAATTAAGATCGACATTGTGACATGAAAGAGATGAAAGCCTGTTAGTCTACGTGTTGGTAGTCTGTGCTACGGGACCCATTCTGCTGTCATTGTTCCTTACATTTTAAAATCAGGTGTTATAAGTGAATATATTTTTTTCTACAATGATTCAAATACCAAAATCAGGGGAAAAATAAAGTCACCTGTGTTAGATTGGGTGTCCTCAAACATAGAGTAGAGACAATGACTTGTGTGCAGGTAATTTGAGAAGTGAAGCAAGAGTAGGAGGGGAGAAGAGAGAGACAGAGAGGGAGGAAAATCTAAATGTAAAGGAGTATCATCAATATTGTTGTGAGTAACAGCTTCTTTTAGGAAGCATGCAGAATGCCTTCCAGGATTGTCTAATCAAAGCATTTTTCCATCAATGCTCATGTCAATTGATCCAAAACTGCGACTTCAGAGTGTTTACATCTATACTTCTGACTTGCCCACACTGTGAATGCTTCTTACTTCAACCTCGCAGAAACCATGGGAGAAGCCGAGAGGACTTGGGGCTGGAACAATAGTGATCAAGGGGCAAAAAGTGCACCCTTCGCTCCATCCAAATATACCCTGCATAAAGTTTACTCTGTACTGATTCATCAAAATCTCTCCAAGTGATTTAATATGCAAGAGCCAGTGGAATAAGCTACAGTCCTCTTCACTGAAAGAGCTTAAGGTTGTTAGTGACATTTATCATTTCCCTTCTCCATCACCAATTCTAAATATGCTTCCCCTTCCAGCAGCATTTCATTTGGTCTTGGTTGCTTGCCTGATGGGATGACCCAAAACTTCATCTCTGAGAAGTCTAAGTCTTGAGATCCTAGACCCTAACTGTCATTGCAGCAAAAGTACTTTCAACATTGTACTAGGCCAGGGAGCACCAACAGAGGCCTACTTAGATCTGATTTCCACACATACTCCCTTCCCCTAGAGAACTTAGTTCTACCATGTCCCAGAGTACAAAGTTTCCCACTCCTCTACCCCTAGGAATCAGAACATCTAATCCAGTGGCAGCTAAGGTATTAGGCAAGGAAGATTAAATTCTTCATGAGTGACATGCAGTGATGGTGAGGGAAGCCAGTGCTCCTTGATCCCTGCACTGCGTGTTCTAGTTACAGAGTACTAACCTCCATATTGCATTAAATCTGCTCAATGCATGTACTGCATCCTGGCAGATAGCCTCTCAGCCCTGAGAAGTGTTTTGTCAAAAATATGTGCCTTGGTTGAGTCTGAGTAAGACATTCCACTATTCCATTACCCCAGGTAGTTCTGGGTAATATCACGTAGGGCAGAATCAGGGGCTCTCGCAGTCATGTGCCCACTGTCACACTACCTTCTCTGTAAAATGATTCTTTCAGACAGAGGTGATATCACATGTTATAAGTCTTAGATGTTGATGCTGGCAAAACCTATGGGCAGGGAAGGCAAATCATTACTGAAGTAAGATTCAGTTCTATTTAGGCTGAAATGCTGTCCTCTGGGTGCATGGGTCAGATGTAATTACTTTGTGAAGGACAGAACCGCTTTATTGGTCTCTGTAGTGAAAATTTCAGGCTCTCAAACATTAGTAGAAAGTAGACCTGTTTTTTCTGAGAAGAAACTCAAACCACTAGGCCCATACATAGTCTCCACTCCTGCTGCCACGGGCAGTCTATTCCCGACTTCTTCCACAAATACATATGGCAAAGAGCACGAGTTGCCTGATTTCCACTCGTTGGCTCATCCTGTCTACTGATTTTTGAATGTGTCCTTTGTGGTATATCAACCTTAATGGGCACTAACTTGATACATAAAAATCTTGACTCCTGTAAGTCTATCTGTGCACACTTTCCAAGACCTCTTTGACTATGAACTTCTAATCTCACTCTTTCCAGGACCCTCATCAATTGTCCAGACAACATGTGCATGCTGACCTCACATCAGGTCTTTTTACATGCCAAGTGACTGACCAATATTCTCCTTTCATTTTGCACACAGCAAGGAGTCCCCTTGTCACTGCCCATTAGTGCCACTCCTTGTTGTATTGAATTCTGTCTCCCAAAGATATGTTGAAATCCTAACCCTGGTACCTGTAAATATGATCTTATTTGGGAAATGTCTTGGCAGATGTAATCAAGTTAAGATGATGTCATCGTGTGTTAGGGTGGCCCCTGATCCAATCACTGGTATCTTTACAAGAGAGAGGAGAGGGAGGTATAGACATGGAGACACACACAGGGAGAATGTCATGAGACCATTGAGGCAGAAAGTGGAGTGATGTAGCTATCAGATGAGGAATACCAAGGATTTCTGGCATACATCAAAAGCTAGGAAGAGGCAGGACAAGGTTTTTCCTTGGAGCCATTGGAAGGAAAGTGGACCCACCGACACCTCGAGTTCAGCTGTCTAGCTTTCAGAACTGTGAGAGAACACATTTCTCTTGTGATAGGCTGTGGTGCCTTGTTATGACAGCTCAAGGAAACTGATAAACTCCTCATTGTTCCATCCTGCAGTGGTTTTACATTTTCACATTGCATTAATTTCTCAAGCCAGCCCATCTGTGTACTGTGCCTTCGTCAGTCATGCGGCCGGAGATGGGACCTGAGGAAGACACACTGGTAAAATAGAGGCCAGGCTGCCTACCTGTGTAACTTACTGGTGCCCCTCAGTGCTGTTCAGGCCAGCTCCAGAATGCACCATTTCCATTACACAATTGATTACTTCTGCAACCACCTGACTGGATGATTTGATAACCAGACAACATGAGGATCATGCTGGGCTGCTCAGGTGCGTCGTGGCTTGCTGTTATTTTTTG